CAGAGATGAGTGAGTGCCTCCTGTGCCGCCTCACTTTCTTGAATGATTTCAATTTTTATTCCATCAGTTCCTGGTGCCTTGTTGTTTGCCAATTCCTTCAATGCACTTTGGACTTTCTCCTTCAGTATATCCCCTGAAATCTTCTTAAAACAATAATTCAGTTTAACTAGTAGAAGATCTCTACCTTGAATATTATTCTCACTTAAGAACTATATGAGATCGGCTTGATATCAGAAATTCAAAAGATTAAATAGTAGGGACCTTAGCAGTAAGTTGTTAATAGGGAAGGGACGCAGAAAGCGGGTGAGACTACTGCACAACTCAAAGAATATAATCAATGACACTGAATTACACATGTAGAAAGTTAGATTGTTGTGTATTCTGCTGTGTATATTTTCAACAACAAAAGGAAAAAGGTTTTGTTTGTTTTTTAATTAAGAAGCAGAATGAGCTGTTTCAGTGAATAGAGGTATTAAGTGGGCAGTTGGAAACACAGATCTGAAACTCTGGGGAGAGGCTCAGAATGGAGACATCTCCAAACTTAGCAGCGGCCATTGTGTGCACCAGAGTGGAGCTGTAGGTTCCCTTGACTAGGGGAATCTGCTTATGGGAAGGAGGCTGGGATCCGGGGACTGGATCTCTGGCTTGGGCCCATTGTTAGGGTGGTCACAGGTGAGGAAGAGAAGTGACCATGGGTAGGTTGAGGAAGAACATGACCTGGTAGATGGCCAAGGTTCTAAGGGATGAAATGAACATGGAGACACAGAAGTAACTGAGACAAAATGACAGTGAGGCTAGAACTAGTCCTTATTTACCCTGTATGGACACACCAGAATTTTGGTGTGACCCTGGGTGTGTGTGCTGAGGTACTTCAGCCAGGGTTATGAATTGCCTGTGGACTACACATGGTCATTTGGAAGAGTCATTGGGCCACTGAGGACTGGTTTTGAATGCTGGTTCGCTGGAGAGGGGAAGACTGATTAGTTTGGGTTCAGCCAGTGCAGCCTAAGCTGAAGAGACTCTAGGGTTTACATGGGGTTCTCGGGGGCAGAGGTTAAAACAGGGATCACTAGAGGTGTGGGGTAGAACTGGATCCTATCTGAATTTGCCATGTACTCTCTGGGTACCTGTGCTGAATATCGTGTGGGGGGACCAGGGAGAGCCTATGATACGGGACAGAGAAGGGGAGGAAAGAGTGGAACAAGAGTGTGTGCACGTGGAGAAAGTGTGAATGGATGGTTCCAGGTCCTGGTCTTGAGGACGGAAGGCTCAAGGTAAGCCCATACATACTTGGTGGTGTCAGGAAAATTGCCTGACGTGGAGTGCAGCCCTATGTGCCCAGGCCAGAGCTCAGCTGATATCTTACCTGCCACTATGCCAGTTGGTGCTGATGGCTGCCACAGCAATCGGTGGGACCGAGGGGAGAGCGGGCTGAACTGGGACAAACGGTGAGGAGAAGATGCGTGTGAGAAGCTAATCGTGGAATGCACTGTTGTGTCCATCATGGCAGGGCGGTGTGACCTTTGAGGACGTGGCCATTGACTTCTCCCAGGAGGAGTGGGGGCTCCTTGATGAGGCGCAGAGACTGCTGTATTGTGATGTGATGCTGGAGACCTTTGCAGTCACAGCCTCCCTGGGTAAGACCCTCACACCCACACACACGTCCTGACCTGGTCGCTGCCTTTCCTCTGTTCCCCAGGGACAGCTCCGTCCTTCCGCAGCCAGACCGGGACTGGGCTCTGCACTGCTCAGAGCAGTGTACTCCCTAAACAGCCCGAACTGTGCAGGGAAAGAGCGTCAGGAGACTTCCAGCCGAATGCAGCCCCCTTTCCTGCATCACGACTGGCTCTGCATTCATAACACCTCTGTGCCCAGATTTTGCCCCTTCCTCGAGCTGACATTTCTTCATACTTACCTGGAATTGTAAGCATTAGTGTGGCCACTACTTACACGAGCCATGGACTGCTTTTGCTATACACTCCTTCAGAGGTGTTTAGTTTTGTAATGCTGATTTTCTCTCCTGTGGTCTGTTGTGTGCTGGTTTACTGTGGACCAGTGCTGGCCACTTCTCTGTCCTGTGTGTCCCTTGACACAGCTGGGACTGGAGGGATACTCTGATTGCTTATGAGGGTAGACATGACAAGATAGTCTCAGAGTAAGTTTGGACCTGCTGAATGGCAGCTGGGAAGCAGGTTTTGAGGATACTGCCTTGGATGAGGGTATGGTATGATCAGATGCAGAGGCAGAGACCAGGAAAGTCTTCAAATTCTTATAGTCCCGTTTCCCCAGAGAGAATGGCGCATGCTGTACCAGCCCACTGGGAAAGGTGGCCCTGGGATTGTGGGAGACGTTAATGTTTGTAAGCAGGGCAGAGTTAGCCACCTTCTCTGGGGGATCGAGCCTGTGGATAGTTCTCAGGCTCTGAGGCCTGGAGGCTGAACCTGCTTCTTTGAGACCTGACCCGCAGTGATTAGGGTGGGCTGCATAAGGGCCCAGGAGTGTGAAGCCCATAAGGGGAGTGGTGGGGGAGAGCACTTAACTCAAGAAGGGGAACTGAGCCGCCTCTAACCAGTTCCTCAAAACGGGCTCAAGAGCATTTGTGAGATTTTATACTGCAGAGCGAATGATATCAGAGCTGCGTTCAAATCATAGCAGGAAGCTGCTCTTATCTACCAGTGTTTTGGTGCAATTGCAAATGACCACTCCTCATTTTTCTCTTTTCTCCATCATTAAACACCAGCTTCCTAGATCCAATTGGATTTTCCTGGGCCAAGCCTAACAAACTGCCTTTGCCAGCCATAAGGTCTTCCTGAAGGTTGTTTGCCAGAGGAGTGAGCTGGAGAGCCTGCCTCTCTGTTCTGTGCTGCTCCCCATCTTGTCCTTCTAAGACTACACAACAGCCTCTTAGTGTATCTCAGCTCCCTTGTTCTCAGAACCATTGCCATAGCTTCATTCCTCCATGTATCTGTTACACATTTATGATGGGACCTCTGCCACGCAGCAGTCCAACCTGCATTTCATTAGCATTTCTGTGTTTTCAGGTTCTTGGAATGGAACAGGGGATGAAGCGACATCTTCTAAGCAGATTGCTTCTGCAGAAGGAAGATCACAGGTCAAGACTTCAAAGGCAGGTTTATCCACCCAGAACACGCACCCCTGGGAGATGGGTGTCCTATTCTTGAAAGACATTTTATACCTGACTGAGCATGCAACACATGCTGGGCAGAATCTGTGCCTGGGTGGGGCGTGTGTGAGGTGTTTCTGGATGAATACCACCCTTCACCAGCACCAGAAGTATCAGAGTAGAGAGAAGCTCTTCGAAAATCCTGTGGACTGGACCTCATTTATGAAGAGCTGCAAAGTCCATACATCAGGAGAACCCTTCACCTGTGGGGACACTGGGACGGACTCCTCAGTCCCCGTATGCTTTCTCCAACACGAGGCCACACTGAAGAGTGAGCAGCAACCCTACAGCCTTGAGTGTGGGGACACTGTTCAGAGTGGAAAGACACTTTGTAAGTGGGGTAAATGCAGGAAATCTTCCAGTCACAACCACAAGAGGGTCTTCATTGGAGAGGGGCGGTATGAGGGTAACAAGTGTGGGAATGCTGTGAGCTGCAATTACAGACTTGTTCAGCGCCAGGAGCTTCACAATGACGAAAGGCCGTACGAGTGTGGCGAATGTGGGAAATCCTTTAAGTACAAATGTTTACTGGTTTACCATCAGAGAGTTCATACTGGAGAAAGGCCTTATAAGTGTGAGGAATGTGGGAAATCCTTTAGAGATTCCTCATCCTTCATTCAACATCGGAAAATTCACTCGGGAGAAAAGCCGTATGAGTGTAGCAAATGTGGGAAATTCTTTACCCAGGGATCGAACCTTAAGAAACACCAGCGAAGTCACACTGGAGGAAGGCCTTATGAGTGCAAAGAGTGTGGGAAATTCTCTAGTTACTGCTCCTACCTAAGTAAGCACAAGAGAACTCACACAGGAACAGTGCTGTATGAGTGTTGTAAATGTGGGAAATCCTTTAGTCGGGGTTCCAGCCTCCTTCACCACCAGAGAAGTCATACTACAGCCAGTGCATATGAGTGTGGGGAGTGCGGGAAATCATTTAGGTACAAGTGTCTCCTCATCTACCACCAGAGGATTCACACTGGAGAAAGGCCTTATCAGTGTGCAGAATGTGAGAAGGCATTTCGCAGCCGCTCGGTTCTCACTCAGCATTGGAGGGTTCACACTGGAGAGAAGCCTTATCAGTGTGCGGCCTGTGAGAAATCATTTCGGAGTCGCTCCGTCCTCACTCAGCATTGGAGGGTTCACACTGGAGTCAGGCCTTAGATGTGTGGGGAAGGTGCTCTTTCCTTGGTTAGAACAATACCACCAGCTGGGAAGGACCTCTGTGAACTTCTGACCAACACAGATTGACCTTCCTAGGACTGCAGACCCCACAAGGTTGGTAGTTCAAACATCGGCTGTGAGTCGGTACCAACTCGATGGCAGTTAACAACAACAACCTTCAAGCATTCACAGAGAGGAGACTTCTCATGAGTTGTAGGTATGTGGGGATCCTTCTGGATTTTATAACATTCCCAGGACCCTTGCCAGGCTTTTGTCACTCCATAAACCATTTCACCAATACAACCTGATAAGTTCCCACCTCAGGGTGTTCAGGGTGGCTGACATCAGTGCTTGCCTTTGTGCTGGAGGAAATGGTGAGAAACCTGAGCCTCTAGGAGATGCTCCTTTCTCTCTGATAAGATGAGGCCTGCACCTGATGCAGTCTGGCCCAGATGACCTGATCTGAGGTGTGGCTTCTTTCTTGCCTAAAAGACTATCTTATGCTTAGATCTTTTTGTGATGCTTCCTAGGAATGACCATGGGGCTTTATGGGCTACCCTTGTGGACTAGATGTGTACGTGTGTGTACTTGTGCACACATGCACTCAGACGTCGCTCTGAGGTGGGCACGCTTGTGAAACTTTGCTACTTCAGAAATCACTTGAGAGGAAGATCACGTCATGCCCAGCACTGTGAGGGAATGGGAGACCCATCATGGGTACAGAAACATTGGATTGATAGACAGTTGAGGAGACTCAAGGAAGTAAAGAATGCCTTACCGAGTCTAAAAGTGCCTCCACAACTGTTCCATTGGCTAGCGCTGTGTGCGCTCAGTGTGTAGAGAAACTCAGGACCTCCAGATCTCTTGTTTCTGGTGAGGTGAAGAATTTGGCTTTTGTCCTGGGGGTAACCTCTCAACCACTGGGATCTCCTGAGTCATTGGAGTCTCTTTGTTATTTTTGAGAGAATTCAATCTCACCTAATAGTTGATGCTTCCATAGTTTGTGTTAAGGAAATATGGCTCATGTTGGGTCTGCTATACAAAGAAACCCACCAGATTACCAGCCCAGCTGCTAAGGCAGATAGAGGAGGGGGAGGTAGAGTGACTTCAGTCACATGGCTAGTGAGTCAACCAGTTGTGCCTACAAATGAAACTCCAAGAAGAGCTCTGGATGCTAAGCTTCCCTGACTTATAACACCTCAGTGTGCCAGGCAGACACTGCATCCTACTCACAGGGAGAGGTTTGGGAAGCTTCGTGTTTGAATCCTCCCAGACCTTTGCTCTGTGTAATACTTGTTTGTTCTTTCTTGATAAAATTGTAGCCATTAAGTAGAGTGATTTTCTGATATCTGTGAGTCATTTTTACAAATGCTCAAACCTGAAGGGTACTGGGAATTGCTGAATTGGGGTCTCGTTGGTCAGAAGTATAGTTGGCCTAGAACTCTTGAACTTGTACTGTCTGAAATGAAGGTAGTGTCTGCAGGACTGTACTCGTAATCTCTTGTCAGAAGAACTGATTCGTATGTGTGTAGCTACGGTCATTGTCAGAGGGAATCGTTTTTGTGGGTCTCCGCGGCCTCTGACTGCTCATCTGAAGGCCACTGCTGTACAGGCAGGAAAGCAAGGCTACCCTGACAGAGACTAGTCCGGGCTTCTGTGGCCCCGGCAGCCTTCCTGGGGGCTGAGGTGGCAGTGATTTGCATTGCTCACCAGTAGTCGTCTCTCCCAGGACATGAGAGAGATGGGAGGGTCATAGGGTTACCAACCCTGATTTCCCAAGAAGTGAAAGACTAGAATTTCCACGGGGAGAGGGGGGGATCAATTTTGTAACGCTTTCTCTAGGTGTAATTGACATTCCATAAAGCACATGTTTGAAGGGTACAATTTGAAGAATTTTGACATACATGGAAATCCATGAACCCGTCACCCCATCATGAACATACTTATACATGTTTACCTCGTTCCTTTACAATGTCTTCTTGTCCTCCCCAGCCCTAGGCAGGCATCGCGTTCCTATATTTATTAATAGGTAAGTTTGTGTTTTCTAAAAGAATATCTGAGTGAAATCCTGAAGTGTTTTCTCTTTTTTTCTTTTTTAACTTCATACCACAATTATTTTGTGATTTATCAGTGATACTTGTATGAATAATTCTTTTTATTACTGAATATAATTCTCTGTGACTGTACCATTATTTGTTTACCCATTCATGTGTGTGTAGACATTTGATGTATTTCCAGTTTTGGGCTCTTGAAAATAAAGCTGCTATGAACATTGTGTACAGTTCTTTACTGGAGATAATGTTGTATTTCTCTTGCGCTGGTAACTTTGCAATTCTGCCCTAGAGTATGGTGGATGCTTAACTTTGGAAGAAATAGGTCATTTTACTTATCTTTCCAGATACATCATTTAATGTAAAACTTCTTCAGAATACATTTTTTAAAATGTGAGGGCTTTATCATAACTCCATTAAATAAAACTACCATGCAAAGTAGAATTATTTAAAAATATGATCATCATATTATCAGTGCCAAACGTTATCAATTAACTAAAAAAAAACCTGTTAGTGTTCCTAAGGCAGACTGCTTACAGTCAAGATCCAACATGCATTCTTAGGGCTTTTCTATGATGTGTTTTGTCACTTGATTGTCATGTAGGTGCCACTTAATCTCTTCTTAAATCATTGTGTTTACTTGTTGAATTTGCTAAGACTTTGGTCAATTCATGCACTTGTCTCCCCACTCCTTTGAAGTATCCTGTTCTTGTTAAGTGCCTTCGAGTCAGTTCTGAGGAACGGCTGGTACATTTGAACCACCGACCATGTGGTTCAAACAGTATCCTTGATTGGGTTTATTGGTCTAGATCTGTTGTTAAGGGCCATCGAGTCGGTTCCGATCCATGGCGGACCTGTTGAGAGCTAGATTAGGTCTCTAAAAAATCTTTTGACCATAAATTAATTTTAATCTTCTCTGATGCTGTTTAGCATGTTCTTCGTTTCCCCAGATGTCCCGTGTGCTAGATACTGGTGGGGATGGGTGGTTGAGGCCTGGTGGACAGGTTTGTGATGGCACATCTGGAACCACATACATACAGTGTGACTCAGCTAGCAGTCCACAGCCCAACCTGGAAACAACACAAGTACTATGTGTGACAAGTGTAGTGACGTTGCAGTCTGGCCTACAGATGGGAATCCTGTGTGACCAGTGTGTGATGATGACACCCGGGAACATCTCACATCCACCCCGGGATGCCTCTCAGCATAGGCTGGACCCATGATTCCTGATTGGTGGTGGTGGTCTGTGCTGCCGAGTCAGTTCTGACAGCAAGCCTGCCTCTAGGCTTTCTGAGGCTGTCAGTCTTTGTCCCGTGGAGCAGCTCGTAGTTGTGAACTCCTGTCCTTGAAGTTATCAGCCTGACTCATGACCACTACGCTACCAGAGCGCCTTCCTTAAGAAACGAATTATTTCTGTTTACTGGTTGCTTGGGAGTAGGATGAGACAGCCTTCAGGATGAGCAGATGGGTTGGGGCCCTCAGCATCCAGGGGCTGTGCCCAGTGCTTTGGAGGACTGAGACGCTGAGATGGACCCTCAGAGTTCTTGTACTTTCTAAGCACAAAACATCTGCATACGTCATAAAGCTTAAGAAAGCCATGATAATGAGGGTATAGGTCAACCACAAAAATCATGTTTTAACATTGTCTAAACACCTGTGCCCACTAAATAATCTGCACTTTGGCTATTTCCAATCACAAAATTGAGGGGAAACAAAAAAATGGAGCACGTTAGACAAGCTGCATTTTCCTGTTAAAAGCTGCTTGCATATCTAGGTTAAGGGTGCAAAGGAAGAGCATTCCAAAATTTAAGTCTCTTAATATGAGTAAGGCTTTTAGCTACCGTCGAACCAAATGTCTCCCTACCATAAGTGCTGCATTTGTACTTTTCTGTCATGAAATGTAGCCTCACTTATGTGTATTTCCATTGCACCTTTGACTTAGAAACAAGCAGTTCTAAGGAGAAAAATGGTTTGGCTTGCTTACGTAGCTGTTAAAGGAACAAATTGTGGTTAAACTTTAGGAAACTGTTTAATGTTAAGGACAGAAATGCTTGTAGCTTTTTTGTATTAAAACCCTTTCCTTCCTTTTTAGCATAAGAATACTTGGTACTTTCACCTGTAATCATTTTATTCTTTCAACAAACTCTGATTTTATATTTTAACAGCCTATCACAGTAATTCAATTCCAACTCCATTAATGCGCCCTTGCCCATTTCTCAGAAATTCTTTTTGGTTTGCTAAATCTCAGAAACAGGGCTTTAGCTGCCTAGATCATCCGATGTTTCAGAAACATGAAACTTGATTTTGGTGGCCAGCTTTTTATCAGAAAATGCCCCCAGAATACCACTGTACAGCACACTTTATTTTGTAATTGTTTAAATGAAAATCCTGTCACCTAGATGAAGGATCAAAGACTACAACCTTAAGTGTGGGGTTGCACCTCAGTGTAAAGAAAACTTTGTCTCTCATACTTCAGACGTTATCAGAAGGGACCAGTCCCTGGAGAAGGATATCATGCTTGGCCAAGTGGAAGGTCAGGGAAAAAGAGAGATCCCCGAGGAGATGGATTGGCACAGTGCCGGCAGCAGTGGGCTCAGGTGTACTAAGTATTTTGAGGTGGTCACGTGAGTGGGTAGGGTAGTGTTTCGTTCTGTTGTGTATAGGGTTGCTATGAGTTGGAGCCGACTTGACAAAGAAGACCAGCCCCTGTGGAAGTAGTCAGTCCTGTACCCTAAATGTACCGCCACCAGTCCTCAAGTGTGACTTTTGTCTTTTATCAACCTCTGCCATTCTGTAGCTGCTGGGAGCGCTGTCCAGTGTTTGGCTCTGTTTTCCCGTTTTACAAGATGTTCTTTCACCATAATAAACCTTGTTTATACCTCTTTCCCTACTTGTCTGACAGGTTGTATCACTGTGGTGCCTTGTGTGTTGTTGTTGTGCTGGAAACTCTGCCACTGCTATTTCAAACACCAGCATGGTCATCGATGGTGGACAGGTTTTAACGGAGCTTCCAGACAAGAGTATGAATAGGGAATAGGCAGTCCATTTTTAAGGGATTTGTATGTTTTAGGTGCCATCGAGTCAGTTCGCACACATAGCAATCCTATACACAACACGACAAAACACTGCTCAGTCTGGCACCACCTTCACACTTGCCATGTTTGCATCCATTGTTGACGCCACTGTGTCAGTCCATCTCATTGAGGGACTTCCTCTGTTTTCACAAATCTCTGCTTTAACAAACATGGTGTCCTCCAATGACACATGTACAAGGTACAAGAGCTAAAATCTCACCACCCACAGTTCTGAGCATTCTGTCTGCTTTTTCCTAGCTAGACTTGTTTGTTCTTCTGGCAGTCTGTGATACTTTCAATATTCTCCAACTCCATAATGCAAATGCATCAGTTTTTGTTTTTAAAGTTTTTATTGTAAATCCTATGGTAGTTTGTTTCATTTCAATGATTACAATCCCTGCCATGCATCATCGTCAACAGTATTTGCTTCTGTTCCCCCTTGGTTTTTTGTTTATTTTTGGATGTACACAAAAACTCTCAGGAATATATAATCATTTACACAGTCAAAGGGCACATTCTGCAAGCCTGCCTCCTGGCTGCCTACACAGTCTTTCTCTTTACATGAGTGGAGTCCTCAGCTGCTTTATCTCTCCATGTAATCATCTCTGCCTCTATCTCTGCTTCTCTGGATAGGGTCCCCCCTCCCATTCTTGCTCTTCTCCCTTTGATGGTCCTAGGGTCCTTGGTTCCTGGAATGTAAGATTTACTACTTTTTTATGTTACAAAACATGTACCTTTACAGTTGAGATGATTGCAATTCATGATGATAATATTGACTGTAGAATCACTAGAATCTTATTCCCATCTCCTTTCACCAGACCCATCTCAACAAGATGAAAACTATCCCGTGGGGATTCTACTTTTCCCCACACACTCTGAAACTAAGCTCCCTCTTGAAAACTTGTAAGCCAGTCACTTTGTCCCCTTATGGCCCCTCATTTTAGGTAGCCAATGTCTAAGTTGCTTGTCCCTATCAACCCTGTGTACAAATAGGATAGGATTGATCCTTGATGTGAAGACTCCTTCCTTCTCAGTTGGTATTTTGAGCTCCTACAGCCATTAAGTATAGGTCAGGTTCATGAAATTGCAGCAATTTACACTTGTTTCCTTTATCAAAAAAATGTTTTATTGTGAATTATGTGATAGATTACATGGGAGAACATTTAGTTTCACATTCATCCAATCATATATCGTTTCATTGTCATGTTCACAATCCCCTCCATGCATCATCAACCAACCAAAGGGTATACCCCACAAGCCTGCCCCTCAGTTGTCAGCACACAGCCCCTCGCCCTCTCTGGGTCTAGAGTCCCCAGCTGCTCCATCTCTCCACGTCATCAGCTCTGTTGGAGAATATTGAAAGTGCCATGGGCTGCCAAAAGAACCAACAGATCTGTTGGAGGAAGTGCAGCCAGAGTTTCTGCTCCTTGGAGGCCAGAATGGCCAAACTTCGTCTCTTATACTTCGGACATAGTGTCAGGAGGGACCAGTCGCTGGAGAAGGATATCATGTTTGGTAAGGTGAAGGGTCAGAGAAAAAGAGGAAAACCCCCAGCGAGATGGATTGGCAAAGTGGCAGCATCAATGGACTCAAGTGTGTCAACAGTAGTGAGGTTGGCCCAGGATTGGGCAGTGTTTCGTTCTGCTGCGCATAAAGTCACCAAGAGTTGGTACTGACTCAATGACACCTAACAACAACAGGCTTAACATCTTATATTCACTCCTTCCTTGGGCTTTGGAAACATCTGGTCTCATATCAAGAGTCCTGGTAATGCAACAGTTAAGAGCTGGGCTGGTAAGTGAGACATGGGTGATTCAAATCCAGCAGTGGCTTCGAGAGAAAACATGTGCCAGTGTGAGTCTTCCAACATTTACGGCCCAGAAATTCCTGTGGAGCTGTTCTACAATCCTATCGGGACACAATGACTGCGAATTGACCTTGAAGACAACAGGTTTGGTTTATCTTGGTTGTGATGGATCTGTCTGGAGACATTTTGTCTCTTGTCCATAACTGAGCATACTGAGACAAAAAAAAAAGAACTCTAAAGGGTCAGGGTACAGCCATGTAAACGTCAAGATAGTAGTAGTATGATCAGCTTTGAGTCTGAATTCCTTTATGGAGTGATGTATCCTTTTGGATCTGTAGCCTTTGGGAGCATCTGAAATCCTATTTTTAGCCTATGGGAGCATGCTGATTGATCTTTATGAAGTCTGAAGTAATGTTTTCAAACAGTACCGTGATGAGTTGAAAACAACACAGAAATCTCACAACAGCTCCTTCAAGTAGGGACAAAGGACTCCATGTTCCCGGGCTCCTAAAATTGACCTTAGTTGTCTGCCCCTGCAGACTGGCCTGTTGTGCACAACTGTGGTAACACAATGGGATAAACACTGGCCATCATGGTTAGTGGTTCAAACCCACTAGCTGCTTCCCAGGAGAAAGATGAGGCTGTAGCTCTTAAAGAGCTATGGAGTCGGTTCCGGCTCAGCCAGACTGCATTAGGGTTTCCGAGGCTATAAATCTTTACGGGAGCAGAAAGCCTCATCTTTCTCCCGCAGAACAGCTGGTAGTTTCGAACTGCTGTCCTTGCAGCTAGCAGTCCAATTCGCTACCAGAACTCCTTATCCAATCAATAACAGTGGCTTAATTGGTTGATGAGTCCAAATGGTTTGGTTTGATTTTGGGTAGAATTTTGGAAACTACAATACCCAGAACGCTCTGCGCAGAGCGGTAGCGGTGTTGAGCCAATGACTGCCCAGAGGAGAGACATTTCCTCTCACGCATCACGTCGGGGTTAGAACATCCGGCGTCTTCTTCGTCGCGGTCATTTTTGATGTTATCAGATGTGCTCAGCCCACTAGTGGTTACACTGGGCCGGGTGCGGACGCGTCTACGTGAGAGACGGCGTTGTCAAGACCCAGAAACGTTTGTGAGTCAGGACTGCGACGCCGCACTGGGTGTCGGGGCCGGGACCGGGCTGGGCGCGGCCTTGTCCAGGTCTCCGCCCACCCTCCACCCCCGCCTCTCACGGCCACGCGCCGCCCACAGGCCCGGATGGCGGCGTCCGGGCGGAAGGAGCTGCCTCAGGTAAAGGCGCCTCGGCTCAGGGGTGTCTGCGCACGGGTGTGGCCCGGGGGGGAGCGTCAGGAGCCCAGAACCGTCCATGTAGACCCGAGACCCTCTCGTCTTTAGGGGTCAGAGAACGGTAAGAGTTAAGGATCGTTCTCAGGGTGTTGTGCTCTGTGCGGGTTTTGAATAGAAATGGAGCATGATCAGTTCGGCTCTGAAAAACTTTTTAAACGCTTCCCATTTTCTTACAAGAGGCAGAACGACTAGAAAGATCGCGATGCTAGTGTGGCCCAGGGAGTGAGGGAGACCCCTCGAGGCCACCTCGTTTCAGTGCCTGCTTCCTGATCTCCCTTCTCTTACAGGTTCCCGTGGCTGGAAACGCGCTTATGGACCCTACACAGGTGAGTGAGTGGAATCCCACCCAGACCCTGGCTGGTCTCTCTTTAGATTGGGCTGTCTCGGGGCTCTTCACTTGGTCTTCTTTGGAGCTTTGGGCATGGGGATCCTGAACACACCCCAAGTTTGGGGTACTAAGTTAAGGTCAGGGGTTATTTGGAGTGGTCATACAAGAAAGCTTTAAAAAGTTTGTAGGAAAATTAAAAGATAGTGGAGCGTCTCCACAAACTTTTTTGAAACCCCTCTGTATTGTTGCACCCGATGGGGTAATGTGGGGAAGGTTTTCCCAGCCATAGGTTAGGTAGCAATATGTGCAAATGCTTGGCGGTGTTTTAATTTGATCCAGAGTGGGGGTCGGTGGTCTTGTGGAGGGTAAGGTATTGCATGAGGAAGTGAGACTCAAGTAGGAAGATTGGGAAACAGGTATACCATAGTACAGGTCTCACAGAATTAACTACAGAATGCCTCTATGCAGGCCACATAGGGTGCTACTCCTGGGGGGCCAGGGAACAACTAGCTGGAACTGTCCCAGATGGCAAGCAGGGTGGGGTCTTGGGTGAGTGCACACATAAGTCCTCTTGGTCACTTAAAAAATTTCTAGTGCATTATCAGAGGAGTGCACTGGCTTGGTAGGATAAACACTGGACTACTATTAACCGTAAGGTTGGTGGTTTGAACTTACCAGCCACTCCATGGAAAAAAGATTAGGCTTTCTGCTCCTGTAAAGATTTACAGCCTTGGAGACACTCTTAAGTTTTAATTAGAGGAAGGCATACAGAGCATGTCCAGAAGAGGCAAGAACACAGTTGGTCATCGAGAGATTGGTTTACAGGCTATCAACAACGTCCCTGTCACATCCCACATTAATTTTTCCTTGTTAGCATTTAGGGTTTACATCAACACATTACTTGGAAGATAATTATACCCAATCACAAAGTGAAGGATAATTAGATCAGATTATACAATAAAGGACAACCACACAACACTAGGAATCAGGGCTTAGCCAAGTTGACACAGAACATGGTGGGAGTACAATTCTATCCATGACATGTGGGCTCTGCTGTTGTTTAATTGCCGTTGAGTTCTGGACTTATAGCCCCCCAATGTAGGGTTTCCGAGAAGTGTCTGGTGGGTTTGAACCGCCGACCTTGTGGTCCAAGGCATTATCCTGCAGGACTCCTAGATTTTTTTATTTTTAAGTAGGGTTCTTGGATTTTCTGATCTCAAGAATAAGAGTAAAGTAGGAGTCAGGGATGACGTCTGACATTTTGGGTTTTGCAATTGGAAGGATGGAGGCTCTCTGAAGTAAGAGAAGTCAGTAGTAAGAGTCACTTTTATAGGGAATCAAAAGATTGGTTTGGGGCCATGTTACAGTATGAGGTATGTCTGAGAATAATGAATTGAGGAATTAAGTGAGCAACTGGATAACAGACTTTGGACTCTAGAGAAGTTCGGGATGGAGACCTCTCCAAAGGCAATGACCCACGGGTGGGCCAGGGTGGAGCTGTGGGGCCAGCTTAGAGGAAATGTGGTTACGGTGGTAGTGCTGTTAGCTTGCCAAGAAAGGGTAGAGGCCGAGGACCCAGCTGTTGGGGTTTATCTTTGTGGGTGGTGTGCATCAGAAATTCAGGTGAGAGAGAAGTGGCAATGGGAAGGGCGTAGGAAAGAGACCTATTCATGCTTTAGACGCACCTGAGGTTTGTTGTGAACCTTGTAGTTTGCTGTGTTTTAGGGTTGTGGATTTGGTCTGGGTTCTACACAGTCATTTTGGTGGACCTGGGGTGAGTGGCTAGTGGGGAGAGAAGAGGCCATTACTGGTGTGGGACAGCAAGTATACCACAAACTTAAAGAGGTCCAAGGGTATCTGAGATTCACATGTGGTTCTGAATCATTGAGTGTGAAGCAAGAACAAAGGTGGGGAGACCTTCCCTGCATGATTTGGGTGATGTCTGTCAGTGGGGACCATCAGACATCTGAGATAGTACTGCATACTATTTGAATTTGCCAAACACTCTGGATGCCACGAGAACAGCAACTTCTGGGAGATGCTATGAGATGTAGCAGCCAGACTGTCGGAGTAGAGTAGGACAGGTTATGAGAAAAAGTGTGGTGTGCATGTGGGGCTATGGAGAGGAATGTGAATTGATGGCCCAGGGCTATCGTTGGGGAACTAAGAATTGTAGTTAAGCCCATATTTGCTTGTGTCTGGGAGGCATAATCTGATAGCCCTCCAAGGATGACCAATACGTAGTACACACATAGTTTTAATTTCAGGCGCAGAGCTTTGATGTGCTCCGTCTGCCCTCCTAGCTCTTGGTGCTGTTTGCTGACAGCAGTTAGGGGACTAAGAGAAAGAGGTTTTACATCAGTGGCACCAAGACCTGATCTTTTCCTCTTTAAGTGTGAACTGGGGAGGAGGGTGAGCAGAAGACGGGCATGTGGCGTCATGAGGACAGACACTACTCATGGAGTGAACTGTTGCCCCATCATGGCAGGGCTGTGTGACCTTTGAGGACGTGGCTGTGTCCTTCTCCCAGGAGGAGTGGGGGCTGCTTGATGAGACTCAGAGGCTCCTATTCTGTGATGTGATGCTGGAGAACTTTGCAATCATAGCCTCCCTGGGTAAGATTCGCACACCCATCCACATGTCTTGAACTAGTTGTCTGCTTTTCTTCTTTTCCCTAGAGACAGAGCTGTACCTCCACAGCCAGACCATAGGCTCTTCTGCCTTCCCTGTTTTCATAGTCTATGTGCTGTGGATGCTAGACCTGAGGTGTATACACTGTTCTGAGAAATGTGTGCAGTGAATAGTCTCAACATCTACTGCCCAGAGTGTGCAGGGACAGGCCTGGGAGTGTGGAAGTTTATAATCAGCACACGCTTATCACGGTGACTGTCTGAATTCATAACACCTCTGTGCTCAAGTTTTCTGCCCCTTTACTCGAACTGACAGGGTTGTATAGTTGCCTATAAATTGGAGGCATTTTCATCATCACTGCTAGTCGTAAAAGCATCCTGAAGGTTGGCACAAGAGTTACTTGGAGAACCTACCTCTTTCTCCTGTTCTTCACCCCATCTTAGTGTCCTTGTAATCCTCAGAGACCCAGTACTAAGAAGCTGCCCATTCCTTAAGGTGACCCCCAGCTCCATTAGTCACAGCAATTCCACGTAATCACTTCTTGTGTCAGTGGCTCATTTATGATGTTGCTTCCCTTTCCCAGGAAATCAATGTCCGTTTCATCAGCCTTTCTGTGTTTTCAGGTCCTTGCCATGAAACAGAGGATGAGGAGGCATCTTCTAAGCTGAATGTTTCTTTAAAGATACAGGTCAGGACTTCAAAGTCATGTTCACCCACACCGAGCACTCACCCCTGGGAAATTGGGGTCCCATTCTTGAAAAACATTCTGCACCTTGCTGAGCAAACAACATACTCTGGGCAAAATCTGTGCTTGGGTGGGGCATGTGTGAGGTGCTTTTGGATGAATGCAACCCTTCACCAGCACCAGAAGCATCAGAGTGGAGCGAAATCATTCCAGAAAGACGTGAATGGAGCCTCCTTGATGAAGAGGTGCATGTACCATGTGTCAGGGACGCCTTTCCCCTGGGGGGAGGGGAAGGACTTCCTAGCAGCCTCAAACCTTTTCCAACACCAGGCCACATCTGTGAATGAAAGGTCCCCCAATGGCCTCAATAACAGGGAGGCCTTTCATGGTAGAAAAAGACTCTGCACATGGGATAAATGCGGGAAATCTTCCAGTCACAAACCCACAGTTACTCAACATGAGAGCATCTGCAATGAAGAGGGGATTTATGAGGGTAGCAAATGTAAGAAAGACTTCACTTGCAAGTATGGACTTGTTCAGAACCAGGGAAGTCACACTGGAGAAAAGCCATATGAATGTGGTGAATGTGGAAAATCCTTTAGATACAAATGTTTACTTATTTACCATGAGAGAGTTCATACTGGAGAAAGGCCTTATAAGTGTGAGGAATGTGGGAAATCATTTAGAGATTCCTCAACCCTAATTCAGCATCAGAAAATTCACACCGGAGAAAGACCTTATGAGTGCAGTGAATGTGGGAAATGCTTTAACCGTAGATCTGACCTGAATAAACACCAGAGAAGTCACACCGGGGAAAGGCCTTATGAGTGCAGCGAATGTGGGAAATTCTTTGGCCGTCACTCCCTCCTTCATAAACATAAGAGAATCCATTCTACAACTACACCGTATGAGTGTAGCAAATGTGGGAAATTCTTCAGCTATTGCTCCTATCTCAATAATCACAGGAGGATTCACGCAGGAACAGAGCTCTATGAGTGTTGTGAATGTGGAAAATCCTTTAGCCAAGGGTCTAGTCTCATTCAGCATCAGAGAATTCACTTTCGATCTATGGCCTATGAGTGTGGCGAATGTGGGAAATCTTTTAGCCGTAAATCTCTACTTATTTACCACCAGAGAGTTCATACAGGAGAAAGGCCTTATCAGTGTATGGAATGTGAAAAATCATTTTGTCATCGCTCAGCCTTCATTCGACATTGGAAAATTCACACTGGTGAAAGGCCTTATGAGTGCGTTAAATGTGGGAAGTTGTTTAGCCGTAGCTCCCACCTTAATAAACACAAGAGAATTCATGTTGGAGAAAAACCTTTAAGTGTAGCAAATATGGGAAGTTCTTTTTCTACAAACGTGGCCACACTTGACACTGGAGGAGTTCACATAGGAGCAAAGCCTTATGAGTGTGGGGAATGGGAAATTCTCTAGCTAAAGGTTCAGCCTTAGCACCAAAGAGTTCACACAAAAGTCAGACAAATGGTAAAAATCTTAGTTTTTATTAAAATGCTCTATAATAGCTGTCAGACTCTATCCAGTTCTCCTGGTCTCATGACCAAGTAGGCAGTTGTTCATGGACACATTTAATTTCCTTTTACTAGACCTGACTTTTGCACCAGGCAAATAGGACCAACTGTGCCTTGGATGACAGTTGGTAAGCTTTAAAGACACCAGGCACTGTGCATCCAATTAGACAGTAACAAGCACTAACGCATGTTCTTAAGAAGATTAACTGATGCATCTTGTAACCACGACCCTAAAACTGCAAAGTGTGACACCAAATCCCATGAGGTGTGTTTGCTTGTATGAGGGTAAGTCAGAAGTATTGCTACTAGATTCCAGTTCATACATGAGTTTATTCCAAAGAAAATGGTTAGCCTTGTCTCTGATCAGTGGATAGCTGCAACTCTCTGGGTAATACACTTGTCTTAGTCTCATATGGATGCCTCCAGCAACAACAAAATGCTTTTTGTGCCGTGGATAAACAATTTCGAGTTCAGGGCTAATAGGAAGTTTTTAACAGATCTCAAGTGGACATCTTCCCAAATCATTGAAGCTATGTAGCAAGTTTACAGGAATGCTGCTGCACATAAGTTTTTAGATGGATCAGACTTTTTGAGGAAGGTCAGGAAGACCTCAAAGATGAGCCAAGAGAGGGAAGACGTCAACCCTGACAAATGAAGAAACTGCTGAAGTCCAGAAACCGATGGAGGAATACCACATAATATGATTACCATTGACGTGATAGCTACTGGAGTTGGGGTCTCATGATTTGACAGTTTTAAGTGAGTATTGTGGCTTCGATAAGCTTTTGGTGTAATGGGTGCTGAAAAGTATCCTGTAACTATCAGTCAACTCAAAAAGTTGATCTTCCCAATGGACCTCTTAAGTTAGATCAAGGCTAATGAGGTTTTATGAAACAAATTATTACCAGAGACAAGCTTGGATTTACCAAAGAACTCCAGAGAACAAGGTCCAATCAAACGAGGCTTCTGAAGGGACCTGCTAGAACAGTTCAGTGTAAGGCAGTGAGGTCAGCACAGAAGGTGGTAGCAACTTCCGGTGGGAATTACTGAGGGGTAACCTTGATAGGTTTTCTTGAAGGACACAGGATGATCACAGGGCCTTATTATGAAGAACTTTGAAGAAAATGGAAAACTGCACTTGTGAGAAAAAAAGCCAGAAAAGTTGAACTGAGGAATTTTTTTTCATGAAAATGCACCTTTTTATTCTTCAGTGGTAGCATGGGCTGTCTTAAAGAGAATTTCATTGGGAAACCGTACCCCATCTACCCCATAGACCTTATATTGCACCTTCAGACTTCTTTTTGATACCTAAATTGAACGTTTAAAAGGAACACAATTTGAGTCCCTTGTGGATGTCTAAAACTGACATTTTGACATGGTGTCAACTGAAAAGCACAGAATTAATTTGTGCAAGGGTTAGCAAGATGGAAACCTACAAACCTTCAGAATTAGATGGAGGATATGTCAAGACATAGTAGCGTCGCATTATATATATTTTATGAATAAGCATTTTATTGTGAATTGAGTGAAGGTTTACAGAACAGACCATCATTTCTACATTCAACAGATCATACACTTTGTGTCATTACAATGATTGCAATCCCTTCCCTGTATCATCAGTTAACATTTATCCCCCTGTTCACTTTAACTCTAGTGCCTCTTCCGGTGTCTTCCACTACCTTCATCTTCCTCGTGTCAACCTTTCTCTTGTATATTACCTTCCCTGTCATTCGTTAACATGTGTGTGCCCTCTATCCTGTGAATAATTTTCCCTTTCCCTCCATCCCTGGTAACCATAGAATGTTTCTTTTTTCAAGAAAACCTGTTCTTTTTACAACAGTGGTCTCATACAATATTTGCCTTTTTGTGATTTACTAATTTCACTCGGGATGATGTCTTCCAGGTTCATCAACGTTATGAGGTGTTTCAAAGATTTGCCCTTATTGTTCAGCATTATATAGTACTCCATAATGTGTATTATATAAATTGATCACTGTTATTATGCTGTGTTTTTTGTGGTGTTGCTAGGCCTTTGTTTCATATAAATGTCTGTGCTGTGTTCATTTTGTTTGTGGATTTTCTTTTCATTTTCCTCATTGTTTTAATGTTGACTGAATCAGATTTTCCTCTTATTGTGAAGTGAAGGTATATTGACTTTCTTTGAGCTTACCATGTAATTTATTACTTGTCTTCTTCATTTAAAGCAGTCTATCTCAAAATGTACTTTACTTCCTTGCCATTTGGAAGTGCACACTCTTCCCTCTTTTTGCTTTATAGTTGACGCCATTATAAATTGATACTCTGGTTTCCTGTTTTCAGTTTTGTAGGTTGTTTTACTTTGGATGTTTCTATATCTGAATTTAGTTATGGGTGCTGTCGTCATATACGTTAATGCTAGGGTGGCGTCTGTTGGTTCTTAGTCCGAAGAACAACCTTTAATATTTTTTGTAAAGTTGGTCCGGTTATTACAAATTCCTTTAATTTCTGTTTATCTGGAAATGTTCTAATACTGATCTTGCCATCATATTTGAGGGACAGCTTTGCTGGTTATTCATTCTTGGTAATTTTTTTCTTTCAGAGTTTTGTATATGTTATCATATTGCCGCCTTGCCTGCAAGGTTTCTCCTGAGAAAGCAGAGCTTATTCTTACTGATCTCCTTTATAGGTAACTTTCTGGTTTTTTCTAAGCTGCTCTCAGGATTCTTTCCTTGTGTTTGGATTTAGAAAATTTGTGATATGTTTGGATGATTTTCTTTTGGAGGTCTCTTCCTGTTTGGGGTGCATTCGGCTTCTTGAATGCTTATTTTCTCTTTTATGTTGTTGTGGAAGTTTTGTCTCAGCAATTCTTTGACAATTTTCTCTGAGCTTTTTATTGTCTTTTTCTATTCTGGAATTCCAATCATCTATAAGTTATTCCTCTTCATGTTGTCCCTTTTAAATCTCAGACTTTATTTTGACTTTTTCATTCTTTTTCTGATCTTCTAGCTTACTAGTATTGAGAGATTTATCTTCATTGTCACTAATTTGGGCTTCCATTGATTCAAATCTATTACTTTTCCCTTTCAATGTGTTGTCTGTTTCTGAGATCTTAGTCTTAATCTGGAGACCCCCAAAAGAGGATGGTTTGGCACAGTGGCAGCAGCAATGGGCTCAAGCATAGTAACAATTGTGAGGATGGCATAGGACCAGGTGGTGCTTTGTTCTGTTGTACGCAGGGTCAATATGGGTTGGAACCAACTCGACGGCACTTAACAACAACAACAACAAAGGGTAATGCACCAGACTGCAAAGCCGTTTTAACTGCAAGGTCAGAGGTTCAAGCTCACCAGCTGCTCCTCGGAAACCCTATAGAGTCGCAATGGGTCGGAACCGACTCAAAAGCACTTCACAACAACAACAAAACAACACTTTTAATCTGTGTTTCTATTTGTAGGTTTTGGATTGTTTGAGAATTTGTTTTGTAGTAATTTTGTAAATTCTTCTGAAGTTTTTTCTTCGTCGTTGCTTTTCTGTCTTTCTGTCCATACATTGAAGGTAATAGCATTCTTCAGAATTGTTTCTCAGGCAGGCCCATTACCTTTTCTTCCCCCAGAAACCTTGTTTGGCTTGGCCATTTGCTTGGGCCAGTCTCATTTTTTCATGTGAGCTAAATTCTTCTGTTGTCTTCCATACATTGTGGTTGTACTTGTATTTAATTGATGACTGTATGTTGTCGTCTTCTTAGGTTCCTACCAGCTGTCTCCTAGTGGATGAGATTAGCAAGAGTGTGCTCTGTTTTTTGTTCACCGTTCCTGTAGCTTAGTTAGGGTGGGGTTGGCCAGTGTCTATCATAGCTTAGGTGGTATAGGAGATGGTATTGGCTCTTGTCCAGTGGGTGAGGCTACAGAGGATATGGTTGTGGTTGGAATGTATGGGTCTGGTTGCTGGTTCCCGTTGTATGGGGCAAGAGGAGAAAACATAAGGAGAACAAAACAGAACAAACACAAGTAAACAGCACCGAAACCACTGTAATAAAGGAAAAAGGAACGAGCAGCAACAAGAAAAAAATGCAACTAAAGAGAGAAAAATAGAGCTGTATAAGAGAAAAGAAAGGAAAAACACTGAAAAGATGAAAAGGGAAAGAGACTAGAGGGTAGAAAAACCTTTTTTTTAAAGGAGAAGAAGATGGAAATGAGAAACAAGAAAAGAAGAAAAAACAAAAGCAGCGCTAGAAAGCAGTTCAAAGCCACCTGTGGTCCAGGGCATTCTCCTGTAAGCTTGGTCATAAAATAGTTGTCTTTTTGTGATTTATTTCATTTAGCATAATATCCTTAAGCGCCATACATATAGAGCTTATATCAAAAATTTCTCCTACTGAGTTGTAGTCCATTTTATGTATGTACCACATTATATTTATTCATTTATTGATGGGCAGTTAGGTGGTTTCCGCCTTTTGACGTTTGGGAATAACGATGTAGTGAGCATTGGGTTATAAGTGTCTATTCTGACACTGCTTTAGGGCCTTTGGCTTATGTAGGAGTGTCATTGTTGGGTCATATGATAGTTCCATTTTTAGACTTTCGAGGAACTGCCCTATTGTATTCCACAATGGGTATACCATTTTGCATTCCCATCAGCAATGGATATCCAATTTCCCCACCTCCTCACCAACCTTAGTTATTTTCTGGTGTTTTTACTACCCATTCTTTGGAAGAATCTTGATCAACAGGAGGTAAATGCAGAACAGAATTTCAAATTTTCATGGACTTCAGACTTTCTCTAGCCATAGAGGGTGATGAACCGCTAAAACTTGCCCTGAGATTATCTTTAAACCATAAACCAAAAATATTCCCTGAAATCTCCTAAGACCAATCAGTAGTTTAGTTTAATTAATAAAAATGTCTGCTTGAGCATGTGATCAGATTG